CTTTGAGTGATGGTGGATATGTTTGTAGATGGTGAGCAAGACTTATGAAGAAACATTGTTTCAATGTACGGACGAATATAAAGAGTGTTTTCCTTCACCAGAAGCACTCAAGAATAAGATCTTGATCTCAACAAAGCCACCAAAAGAGTATCTTCAGACACAAGTCTCTCTAGGCTCAACAACAGATGAATCCGTAAAAGCTAAAGTAAGAATTAACAAAAACACATATAAAGTTAAAAGATGGTTTTCTGATGGTTTTAAGTTGTGACAGAAAGAGAAAGATGCAGAAGAACTGATTCAAGATGAAGATGAGGAGACTGTAGCCATTGAATACAGAGACTTGATATCGATTCACGCTGGGAACCGCAAAGGAGGGCTGAAGAACTGCTTGAATGGAGATCCTAACCGAGTCATACGGTTAAGCATGAGCGAGCAGTGGCTAGAAACTCTGGCTAAAACCCGTGGACCCGACTTAGTGAAGTTCACGCAGAGGAATATTCTGAGGATATTTCCAAAGACTACACGTTTTGACTCATCAAACTATGATCCTCTCGTTGGATGGATTCATGGTGCTCAAATGGTTGCCTTCAATATGCAAGTAAAAGATTTATATATTCTCTCAACTCTCCAGCATAAAGACTAGTATACAAAAATTTAGACTTGGTTTTGTGTAAATGCAGAGTCATGGGAGGTTCTTGTGGATGATGCAAGGAATGTTTAAAGCTAATGGTGGATGTGGTTATGTGAAAAAGCCTGATGTTTTGCTCTACAACGGTCCTGGAGGTGATGCTTTTGACCCTTCTAATCAAAATCTCCAGATCAAGACAGTTCTTAAGGTTTGGTCTTTGTCTCTGATTATACTATCTTCTTTTCATCTGTTTCTTGAGACGCAAGGAACCATCATAGCTTTGTGTATATGAATCTGTTGTTAAAAAAATTAGGTGAAGATCTACAACGGAGAAGGATGGAATCTGGATTTCTCTCAAGATCATTTTGATCGATACTCGCCTCCGGATTTCTACGCAAGGGCAAGTCTTCACTCATATTTAACCTAAAGCATAACTTTTTAAGAACCCTAGTAGCTTTCTTGTCTGGCAAGTCACCCTACTAACCTGCTGCTATTTTCATTACAGATTGGAATTGCAGGAATACCTTTAGACACAACAAGTCACAAAACAGAAACAGATACAGACGAATGGTTTCCTGTTTGGGACAAAGAGTTTGAGTTCCCATTGCGTGTTCCTGAGTTAGCGCTTCTTTGTATTACAGTCAAAGACTACGACAATAACACTCAAAACGATTTTGCCGGCCAGACATGTCTTCCATTGTCGGAGATCAGGCCAGGAATTCGTGCTGTCCGGCTCCACGATCGTGCCGGAGAGGTTTACAAACACGCGAGGCTGCTCGTGCGGTTTGTCTTGGAGCCTTGTTAGTCGTTTCGTTGTATGATGTTCATTCATCACTTGTGTCAATAAATAAAGTGCCGGTAAGTTGAAGCCACATGCGCTAATAGGAGATTGAAGAAAATAACTGATTAAGATCAGAAAAAGTATATAGTTTGTGATTTTTGTTTCAACAATGTCTTCAATTTTCAAACAGTTGGTAATAATATTTGTGTGGTCCGGTAACCACTAATATCGATTGCTTTCATTATCAACTCAAACTAAAGCAAAACTGTATGATGCCATTATGTCAAATTCATACTAAAGTAACTTTAAAATGCTTTATTATGGTATAAAATAATTATACAAATCTTGTTTAAGATTCTGAGTCTTTTCTTTGTTTGTCTTATGGATAGACATTGGCATAAAAAGTTTTATAAAAATCACGGATATTCCCTGGACGCCGCACAGATACTTCAATCGAACCAAACCAAAACTATTTAATTTAAATCTATAATGTGTAAACCGAAAATTAAACCGAACCAATCCGAATATTCTTATTACATAAAGTTTGGTTCTTCAAAGTTATTAACTAACACAATTGCGACACATGTCAATTATATATTTAAGATTGTGACATGTAATAATATATTTACAAGATAATAACTAAAAAAATTGTAACTGTGAAAAATATTTTGATAGTAGTTTTCCTTTCAAAATTGTAACTTTTCCTTTTAAAATTCTGAATTGTGTTAAAATATATCTCATGATTAATATAAAAAAAAAGAATAAATTATTAGAAACTAAGATAAGTTAGTAAAAAAATTTTTTTTTGAAAAAAAGTTATAGTAATTTTCGTTTTAGAAAATTCTATATCAAAAAGATTTGTATAATAATTTATTTTATTTTCTAAAGTATTTTTTGTTTTCACAGATCCTATAACAAAAAAATATTTGTACAAAATATTCTTTAATACTAATTTTCCTTTTCTAAAAACATAAAGAAAATAAAATTATAAAAAAATTGATATTAATTATCCTATTTAACAATTTTAAACCAAAAAACTGTAATTTTTCTTTCAGAACTGTGAAATGTGTTAAAATATATCCCATGTTTAATAAAATATATAAGATAAGTTAATAAAACGAAAATAAGCTAATAAAAACGATTAAAAATACTATTTAAAAAAAAGTTATAGTAATTTTCTTTTTAAAAATCCTATACTAAAATAAATTTGTACAATAATTTATTTTCTTTTCTAAAGTATTTTCTTACAAATCCTATAAGAAAAAAGATTTCTAAAAATAATTTATTTAATACTAATTTCCTTTTCTAAAATCATAAAAAAATCTAATTGTATAAAAATATTTGATTGTAATTATCCTTTTTTAAATTTAAACAAAAAAATTCTAAAAGAGTGTTTAATGTTAATTTCTTTTATTCAAATCCTAATCAAAAATATCATAAAAAGGAATTACAGTTTTTGTTTAATGTTAGTTTTCATTTATTCAAATACTAAACAAAAAGATCATAAATTAAAAAGAATTACAATTTTTTTGCATTTATATATAGGACCAAGTTAATTCTCTCATATTTTGTGACTTCTCATATTTGATAACCAAACATAATTTATAAATTCAAAACAAAATATACAATGAGTTTTTTGCATGCTCTTTCACATCTTTGTGTGTTATTTTTTTCTTTTGGGTGTCACATGTTGAAGAATAAATAGATATCCTTCGCATGTACTTTTTGTATTGATAATTAGATACCACATGAAAAGTAACAAATTACAATTACAGTCTCAGTTAAAAAAATTATAAATACACAATTATTAAAGAGTTATTTTTTCAAAGTTGCTAATTGACACAATAATATATTTAAGATTATAACATGTGTTAGATAACAATTTTCTTTTAAGAAAACTTAAACCAAAAGAATTTAGTTTTCTTTTATTTTTGTAAGTCTTAAACAGAAAACTGTAAAAGAAAACATATTCCCATATAAATAATTTTAATAATAGTGTTTGTTTTATAAAAAAAATGTGGGTTTAAGGTTACAAACACACAAAATATTATTTTAGGATAAATTTCTTACAAATTAAAAATAAATTACAAAACTATTTATTATAAATATTTTAATAGTATTTTCCTGTTAAAACTATTAAACAAAAGAGAATTGTAAGAAAAAAAACTTATTTCTTTTTACAGAATCTTATTTGCAATGTTAAATAAAATATTATTGGTTTAAATAACTACAAAATAATAATTTTATTTTAATTGTAGTATCCCTTTTCTTAAAAAAAAGCTTATTTTTAGGTTAAGTAAAATATATGAGTTTAAAACAATTACAAAATCACTAGACAATAGTTTAAGATAAACAATTTCTTTATGAACAAAAGTAATTACAATATTATATTTTTCTCATAAATACTTAATAGTGATTTTCCTTATAAATATAGAATTATTAGATAGTTATTTTTGTTTTTACAAGATCATAAACTTAATCTTTATATATTCTTTATTATATAAAACTTGGTTTGTAAATTCTAATTAATATGATCATGACACATGGTAATAAATATTTTAACATTATGACATGTGTTAAAAATTTCATAAATATGTAATAATTTAATAAAAATTGATAATAATTTTCTTTTTATAATTTTATTTGTTCAGGATCTTAAGAAAAGAAAATTATGATTTATTAAACAATAAAATTATTTTCATATAGCTTTTACAATAGTATTCATAAAAAACTATTCACATAATCATGATTTTGAAACATGATTTTCATTTTGCACATATATGTTTTTAGCTACAAGAATCAAAGAAGTATCAAACTGTATAAAGTGTTAATAGTTTCGTTACATCTAAAATTATAAGATAAAAATTGGTGATCCAATGTTTTCCATGTACTAAACAACTAAGATCATTTCTAATTCTGCTATATATTCATCTATATATTATCACTTAAAATAGACAAATTATATTATAGAGGTAGAATCTGTCTAATATATGATTTTGTAATAGAGTTTCTCTATTTTTAAAATAAAATATAGAGATATGCTACTCTCTTTTTTTTTGATCAAATCAAGAGATATGCTACTTTGGTCTCTAAATATATAGGTTGAAATATCATTAAACTATCCCTAAAAGTAGAAAATCTCTATAATAGATTCGTACAATAGAAATGTTCTTCTCAATAATAAAGTCTGTATTTTAAGAAAAAATATAGGAAAATATATAAAGCGGAGTTGGAGATACTTCGAAGATGAATAGACCAATCAACCAAATCTATATATAGATAATAGTAAATGCACAAAACTTAAGGTAATGATCATGGAAACATTAGAATATGTTTGAACAAGAAGAATAACATACAAAATTAATACAAATATTAAATTAAGAGCATAAAATGTATATAACATTGTTATCGATTCGATTGTCTTGATTCAACTTTTTAATGCATTGCATTTCAATGATTCATATTTCTGTGGAGTTGGGTTCAATTTGAATTTTTGAGCCTTGACTTTTTCTCCAAACTAAGTAGAAGGTTGTTAATAAATGCTTATGCACTATGATTACTTGAACATAAATACAAAACAAAACTTACGTGAAAAAACACATTTTATTCCTCAAAATAAGTTTCACACAATATATGCAAAATACTATAATTGTGAAAAAAAAATCTTATTTTTATAATTTTCTAGAAATTAAAGCATCAGTCAAAACCCGTGTAATGCTCGGATCCATACCTAGTGTATAGAAAAAGAAGAATGGTCTTAAATTATTAATATCTTCCAGACTGATAAAACCGAAAAACCAAATCAAAGTAAACCGGATCACTACACCACATGATGACAAGATGAGACAAGACCTGGCATCTACAGTTTCTTCAACCATTAGATACTGAATTAATTTGCCAACACGATCAGAGAAAGAGTGGAGATTTAGGGTGGAATCTAGGAAGGCCGACCTTGGTCCCAAGAGCCTGAACATCCACTTGAACTTGAGCTTCAAACTCTGAGTACGTGAATGGCTTATAGTTTGATGACTTTATCACACAATCTCTCTCTGGGAACACAAAATAACCCACCGAGTGTCTCTCTCTCGTCATATCCTTCTTCTTCACTCTATGCTTCACACTCTTGTACTCGTCGTCGCTTATAGCCTAAATATATATTAAATACATTGATCAAACGATTATATATAGATTGACCAAACTCATGAATATATACATTTAATTAATTTACCTGCATCATATCTCCTAGATTGATGATAAGAGTATTAGCAACAGGTTTTACACGGAACCATTCTTCACCTTTCATGATCTCAAGTCCTCCAGTTTCATCTTCTTTTAATATTGAGATAACTGAACTATCCGTGTGGACTTCCATTCCCAGAGCTTCTCCTGCGGCGTCTACGGAGGAGCTCCGAGGATACCGGTATACCCGTATGATCCCTGTTGACTCCGATAAGAGTTCTGATCTCCGGTCACCGGATAAGTCTAGGTTTAGTGTTTGTGCTATAGCTTCAAACAAGGATACAGCAATTCTAGTTATGTGCTTTCCATATTCTTCTATCAACACTCTGCACACATACAAAGAAGCTAAAGTACCAATGAATATGCAACTCTAGCCTTAAAAGTTTTTTTTATTACAATTATCTATTGAGATAAAACCTATGTGTGCAGGGAAATACGACACTAGCTAGGGTTTTAAAACTTTGTTGTCAATTGTTTCTGTTTTATTTCTGTCTGAAATATATGGGTCAAAGTCCCAAATTGTATAAGTAGAGACAAACAAAAATTTATACTAATTGAAACTTGAAAGCATTAGTTAGCATACTGGTTAAAGCAGGCGTTACAAATCAGGTTACAACAGATTTTAAATGCTGAAATCAGCAGCACGTGGAACGTTACGTGCATGGACAGCGTCAGCCTTTTTTCATAGCCAGTAGAATTAGATAACAAAGTGCTGGACGTTTTCTTACCACTGAAAAGCTCGAAGTTTAGTCAGATGATAATGCTACGAAAACCGCTATTAATATTTACCATTTTCAAATGCTGCCAACATTTTTGGGAACCATTATCCGAATTTAGTGGAACAAAGTCTAATGGCAAAAAACTTTAATCAAGTGTTTAATTTTACGTTACAAAAGAAGTGGTTAATTTTGAGAAAACGTTTCCTAATATCGGCACTAAGCCGGATTTAAATTGATTTTATTATTGAAAGAGCATAGTATTCAAACGGAAAGTAAACATCTCGTCAATCAAAAGTCCATGCACGGGCTACGAAATGACACGTACTGTTCCTTGTCAACTCTACACACCATACAGTTCAGTGTTCACCCCCACACATATTTACAATTGACCTTCGATAAATATATGGTTAAATATACACACATTTCTACAGAAATTTAATGACACCGTTCATGGCAGTTTATATTGTATAGTATATTATACAATATGGAGTGTACTTATGTTCACGACACTATAAATTATTGAGCACTATTAAGTGTCGACTGATTGATTGAATAATTAACTAATTTATTCGAGAAGGCTCATAAATTATTAATCACTAACTACACCAAAACAAAACTTAACGGCGTCGTATGTTACCTGAAAGACTCTAGTTTTGAATGTTGAGCACCATCATCGCAACAAGTAGAAGCTGGAAGCTTCGAGAGAGGGACGTTGAAACCTTCGAGCATGTTTACGTTCGAAGCTTGAGTTCCTCCTCTCTTCAGTGCATCTCCCGAACGGTTTAGAGCAGGTGTTCCCCAGAAATACGATAACGGAGAGTTAACGGCGGCGAACAACTCCCGTTTTTCCTCAAACGGTAGACTCAGCAACGATTCCGAGATCTCCTGAAGCTGTGACGTTAACTCCAACGGTACTCCGTGATTCTCCAAACGGAATATGCCCCACTCCTTGCATGCTTCTCTTAGTATCTCCTTGTTCAAACGCTCCAAATCGATAACCGGGATATGAATATCCTTGTCCTTGTCCAGAACCGGTTCAATATCCTTCGGATCTCCGTCGTTGATCATGCGCCGGAAAGCCGGTGGATATGACGCACTGATGCTCATCTCTCCGCCGATGAAATTCTTAAACTCTATCTCTTTTAGACCTCTATCTATATCTTTGACGAAACTCTATAAGTAGGTGCATTTACTTAAGAATAATAAATTAACTAGATAATAATCCATGTCATGCGCACAATAATTTTTTTTAAAATATATTGTATTTAAATACATATTTTGTTATCATTAACTTTTTTACATTTAATTAGGGATGGGTATTTAGGTACCATTTAGTTCGATTAAATTTTGTTTGATTTAGATCTTTGCAATTTGGTTCGAATCTTTATAGGTTGGGGTTGAGTTTAAGTTAGGATAACCTATTTAATTTTTAAAAAAATAAAGTTCATATAAACTATAAAAAATTTCAAAATCTAAAAGTAAAAATAATATATAACATATAAATTAGAAAAATGAATACCAAAATACTTAAACTTAACATAAAATTGGTTTATCTTAAATATTTGGACAAAAAATGAATAAATATTTCAAATATTTTTGCTCTTTGGAGTATCGTTTAGCTATTTTAAAAATGTACGTTTAATTATTTTATATATTTCTAAGTATTTTGGAAAATTTTAAAACATCTCATGTATTTTGTATATTCTTAGATGTTAAATTTTAAAATAATTAATATATTTAAGTATATAAATTTGGTTCGAGTACACTCGGATACCCGAAATATTTCGATTCAGTTTTGGTTCTCTAGATACCAAAATTTCGAATTCGTCTGGATATCTAACCAATTTTGGTTAAAGATTTGTATTCTTTTTTATTAGATTTAGTTCGGTTTTCTGGATTCAGTTTTTTTTATCCAATCATATATTTTTTATTGTAACAAAAATTTAAATGAAATGAAGGACGGTTCATATTGATTTTTGGTATGCAATAATTTTTAAACCATAACACATTCTATTATGTACGTGATCCATTTAATAAATCATTAAAAATTGTTTAAGATCCATTAAAAACAATTGGCTGAACTAAAAACCGTTACTATTAATCACAAAATTTTCAATGTAAAATTTTTACCATTTTTAATAATTAATGGTTGCTTTAAAAAATTCAAAATATAACATATAAGAAAAAATATATTTTTTATTATATAATTAACATGATTGTTTAATTTCTTTTAGTATTACAAAATTAAATAAAAAATAAGCGTGATATAAAAATGTTATCAAATCTTTATTATTCATAATCATTAATTGTGATATACATGATAATCATATTAGGTAATTCCGCAGTTTTTATTTAAAGAAAAAATAGAAAATATTTTTTTGTACACTACTAATAAAATATGATAGTTAGTTTAATAGAAATATAACATATGTTTAATTGGACCAACATATTTCTGTAAGAGTTCTGAAAATTATTTTCATTATAATACGTGGCTATCAAAAAATGTTGTAATATAGGTGATTAATTTTGGCCATATTCCCTTTTTTCTGTCAAACGGTCATATTCCCTATACATGAGAATTCCTTATATATGTACAATGTTTTTGTTTTTCCGAAGATATCCTTATAGTACAATCTTTCTTAATGAATCGAAGACATTGTCATCACTTGTCACGGATTTATATTTGTGTAACACAAATATGGCATAGATTCTGTTCAAACAATAAGACCAGTAGCGTGCTAGATGGATACGTGTACCATTTGAACATAGCTGTCGGCACATTGCTCATAAACTTCCAACTCTTTCTTAATTAATCGAGACCTCCTTAATTAATTAGAACTTTTATGGGTATATATTGGAAATTAGAAATAAGTTATTGTCACCAATACAACACTTGTTTTTGGTTCACACCAAACTCTTGGTTTAACCAGGAGCTCGGTCAAGGAGCTGATTAAATGGACCAGAGCGAGAATAAGGAACTGGTTTAGCTTCGAATTTAGCTTATCTTCAAAAATCCCCACTGGACTTGCTGAAAATGCTCTTGAAAGGTGTGGTACGTTACAGCGTATCAATCATAGTCGAATAATGTATAAATAAATATATCCGTTTCAGGTTTAGTCGATTGTGGTGTGTGATGAGAATATATGTTAACTTTTTTCTATCAGTTTTCGAGCGTGACTATGCGAGTCAAAGTTATCTGCTCAATCCTATAAGTTGGCCTTAGTGGATTCTAAGATTCGATCACGACGAATATAAGTAGACATTTTAATTTTCTTGGTAATTCTTGAACTCGCAGAACTTGTTGTGCATTACTGGCTTTTGCTTGTTTATTAAAGATGTGTTTCTATTACTGTTTCACAATCTTTTTCCGTGAGTGTTAATTAGCCGTAGCTCACATGTCAAGTGTGCGCAATTTCGGGTACAATTTAGTACCAGCCAAAGACTAAAACATTGTTACGGATAAACACGAATTAACTTCGAAGAAATCAAAGAAACATAATAGAGTAAAGTTAAGAAAGTAAAACCCGTATATGTTTGTGGCGCAAAGACAACATGTTTGATAAAAATGTTGTAAAGATTTTGTGTGTTTTAGTCGTAACCAATTGGTGATGATCATGCATCGACTCTTTCTGCGATTTTAATTATGCTGGACTACTTCAGATACTTTAGACATGTCAAATGGGATTTATTTAGTATTCAATATTATGGAGTACGTGGTTTAACTCTCTTATTGTGTGTGGGGTTTAACTCTTATACTTTCTTCCTTATCATATTAAGTGATGATTTATAAAGATTTGTTCTATCAATGATGTTATCAGTGTGCAATACAACATTAGTTAGTTTTAGTTTGTTGCCCAATTACATGATAGATTCTATTTTAGTATTGGGTCAATTGTGATTCCATAAGCAATAATGATGGCTTAATTTTATAAAACTAAAAAGTAACTGATTTCATATAAATCTTAAATATTGTACATCATGATATGAATGAATATATGAACTAATGGTGACTTGGTTCTATCAACATCGATCACATATATTATTCGTTCATCCAGCACAGCAGCATATTCTCCATAAATCAGGCGAAATGAATACATGCATCCTATTTTTTTTATCCCCATGGTACACAAATCAAGCATAATCTTTTACCTAGACCCATTTTGATCCGGGTCAGGGGGGACGGGTATGACCCGTTTGGTAGACCTTACCCCTAAGGAATGGATGGTCACAAAAGTCAACAAAAAGGTTGGCGGTAAGAGGAAAGGAATCAACCGTAAAATTCGTTGTAAGCGTTGACGAACCACAAAAAACAGAGGTGACAGTCCCTATCTTATGCCTCCACACTTCCACTTGCTTGGCAGTGATGTGACATACGTGGCACCACGCTTTGCACACCTCATCTCCCACTTCCACCATCCGCCATTTACAGTGACACGTGTCCTCATCTTCTTGGTTTGCCTCTTGCCTTTTTTATCTCCGCAGACTTTTCTCCCCCTTGTAATTAGGAAAAGTTGTGTGTAAACCTATAAATTGAATAAGAGATTTGAGAGAAGTAAACATCAGTTTGGATAAACACAACAGAACACTCACTAGTAGTTTCTTTATAAATATATACGACGCACACGACACGAATCTTGTAACCCAAATATTTTTTCAAGATTACTTCCCAAATAAAATAAAAAGAAAGCTTTGACAAAAGATAAGAGAGAGATGAGTTGTGTACTTCGTCTTGTTGTGATTCTCCTCTTGACGCTTACTATTACATCTTCAGCCCGTAGTTCCATCTCCGTTTCAGGTTAGTGTCTCATCTCTTTTATTAGTTGGTTTGGTTCAGTCTGTTTTCATTTTTCCCTATTGATTTCGTTTGGTTTGTTTTAGGTATTGGGAAGATTGGAAGTGAAAGGAGGTCGTTGATGGTGAGCGTTGAGGATTACGGTGACCCCTCTGCAAACCCAAAACACAATCCTGGCGTTCCTCCGGCAACCACCACCCAACGCAGCCCCGGTAGAGTTTGACCTTACGTTAGTCAACCAAGAACCGAAGAAGATATGAAATTGTCAGCTTTATATGTCACTATGTCAGTCTGAGATGGAAATGAAATTCTCAGCTTCTACAAGTTTCTCCAATCTGTATATTGATATAAATGTTTCTCGTAATTTCTTCTATCTTTTTTCTTGAAGATGGATATGATTTGATGATTTATTCCAATTTGAGTCTAGACCAAAATGATTGAATCAAAGAGTAGAATTTGATTAAAACAAATAAACAAGGTATGACTGCTACATCATCAGACAAAACCAGGAATTTTCAAAACATGATGTTAACTAAAAACACAACGTTTGCTTTTTGGTACATGAGATCGTAACACCATCGTCTTTCTATAATACCCTTTCATGTCTGAATCTTCTTCTCAGTAGCTACCTGAGACGATGCTCGGTTTTGTCAAAGTTTTACTGATGAGATCTCTCAGCTCGATCTCTCCCGGGAATCTACCTTCTTTCAATTTAGAGAACACCTGCATCACAAGCACCAGATGGCCCCAGTTACTGTGACTGATCTTAACATATCTGTATGAACATTTGATAGATGAGTTAAGTTAGTAGTACTATACCAGTTCTCCGTTGCAGAGAACTTCAAACGCGCTAGAGCTTTGGAGGTAAGACTGGAGAAAGTTTCCGATGAGCCAAGTGGAAGCCATGGATCCAAACCTATTGGCCCTCAAGGAGTTGAACCATGCAGGTGGGTGCGCAATTCCAATCATGGGAAAGATACGATCACCTGCAACTATCATCCCAATAACTCCCATCTGAGCAACAGGCACAACCTTAGCTAGAAGACGTTTTGGTGCTGGTGGTGGGTAGTTTGCTAGAATCACGTCTAAACCGGGGAAAGCCGTCTCTAACATCTTTTTCATGGTCACTGCAGTTCCCCTGGAAATTAAAAAAAAACTGGTAAGAACGAACAACCTTAAAACACCAGTAACACTGTTAAAAGCTAGAGTGTTGCCTTTGGCGGATTAGTTCAAAAAGGTATCACAGCTTCTGATGTGTCAAGAACTGTTACAGGTGAGGATAAATCTTAAAAGGGTATTCAAACATGTCAATCACGTTGTTAAGAACTCACATATAAGTATCAAAAATCAAGGCTTTACAAGTTCTGTACCATCTAAGATTCTAAAAGACAATGACTAACATCTAAGAATCATGTCGTTTTAGCATTCATATTTACAAGTAACAAAATCAGGGATTTGCAAGTTCTGTAACATCTAAGAATCTAAAAGCCAATGACCGACTTCTTGAAGACACTGAAACTTATCGAAGATCAACTCCGATGTTATTGCGTCTAAGTTATCCTACACAGTTTCTAACCTATCTTAGCTTTACTTCGTCTTCACCAAGAGAACCAAACTTCAAAGCTGCATAAAAGAGGTTCCCTGACTACACTAGAATACTAAGAACAAGCTTAGAACACCAGTCACACTGTCAAAGAGTGATGCCTTTTTCCGGTTTAGTTCAAAAAGGTATCACAGCTTCTGATGTGTCAAGAAATGTCACCGCTAAGAGTAAATCTTAAAGAGTAATTCAATCATTTGGTTTAGCATTGACATATATATATGTAACAAAACTCAGGGCTTTTCAAGTTCTGTAACATCTAAGAAACTAAAAGGCAATGACTCACATATAAGTAGATAATTTTCTAAAAGGCAAGACTTACTTATTGAAGACACTGATACTTATCAAAGATCAACTCATATTTTCATGTAACTAAGTCTAACGTCTCCAACACAGTTTCCAAACTATCTCAGTTTTTCTTCTTCACCAAGAGAATCACACTTAAAAAGCTGCGTAACAGGTTATCTAACTACACTAGAATACTATAAAACCGAAGCTAAGCAAAAGCCAATAAGAGAACAATGATAAAACATCAAATCAAATGAGATTCAAATTACTTGAATGAACATGAGACGCAGAAATTAATCTCCACGGTGTTTCCATATCCAACTGCTCCTAAGCCACTTTGTTTCTGCAAAAAAAAAGAGCAAGGTACAATGTCTATAAGTACTGAGAAATACAAAACAAGGATATGCGGTTGTTGATTTCACCTGTGAAGGAAAATCTAGGGTTTCGGGGATGAAGGCAGGCGGACGCTGCTGGTTAGGGATATGCGGTGGCTGATTGGGACGGTGACTTGGAGGTTTCGGAGGCGGAGGAGTGAAAAGGTTGAAGAGATCTGAGCAGAATAAGAAGATCGGTAAACCTAATAAGATCAGTTGTGATCTGTCCATGGCGAATTTAAATCTCCGATTAACGACGGAGTGAGAAAGTCTACAAGCCGATCGAAGAAGAATTAGAGAATTTTATATAAGTCTTGTTTGGTTGCGAGAATATCACTATCCTACTCTTTCGTAACGCCTTTAGTTTATTCAAATTTGCTTAAGTACCCCTATATTTATTTGTTTTTGTCAACACCCCTATATTTACTATTTTCCTGCACATTAACATCTTTGCTAGACTTTGAATTTATTTATTTTTGCTGGACTTTGAGTTAGGTTGGAGCATTTGTATAAGGTTGGATCATCATCTCATCTGTAACTTAATCCGGAATCCAAACCGAATTTCTGAAAAAACCAGAATTTGTACCCAATCTAATTTGTTATTTTATTTCAATCTAATCCAAATTTTTAAATAAGTATTTTATTAGAAATTTTATAAACTGAATTCGAATATATATCAAATTTAATTTCTTTATATTTATATTTATCAAATTACAAATATTTAAATTTGAAGTATTATTAACAACCAAAATTATATAATCTATTTGCATTTGGAGTATTATTAACAGAACCATTTCAAACATACACTAAACTTGAATGGTCCAGAAGTCTCAATTAAAATGTATACTAAACTTGAATGGTCTAGAAGTCTTAAACCAAAAATCTGAAAACCTAGTATAAGGCCTTATCTGGTTTTCCCGCCATCATACGTACACGTAATTTTTGCGTTTGATAGCGGTTGTTGGCATCTTACAACAATCACATAAAACTCTATAAACCGTTTTAAATCACTCTGAATTTCTAAAATTCAAAAGCTGGTTCCAGTTAGTGTTTGTGGTTGCAGGCGATTGCATAAGGATAAAAAATATTTTTTTTCAGAAAACAATATAAATATAAAAAATAAAATATTCAATTAAAATTTTAAATTAAAGTAATTGAAATACCAAAATATTTTTATTAAAAATTTCCAAAATATATATTTTTCATTATTTTGAAAAAATAAATAGTACAGTTTTATCTATTATTTTTTATATTTACTATGCAAATATGATTTTAATATTTTGGTAATTATATAAAACATAAATATTGTTAATTTATTAGTTAACCGCTGTTGTATTTGATAATAAACTAGTCATAAAAATCCCGCAAACGTAACAGTTTTTAACCATTGAACCAGTCGTTTGAATCTCTTACTAACACTTAAAATCGCAATCTCTCGCAACCGCAAATTCCTGCAATCGCAACCGCAATCGCTGCGTTGTAACCAATGAGAATCTAAATCTGAAGAAGAGATACTTACCTAAAATAACTTTGCACGCTTTTTGTTTAATGAAATTAGAGAATCGAGAACCGTAAAATTCATAGGAATCTTTAATAAAAAAAACCTATTTTAAAATTAGTAAAGATATTTTGGAATTTCCTTCTTTTTTAAAAATGACTATTCTCAGGCCAAGTCGGAGTAGAATCCGTGATCAGTGAAGATATCAGTTCTTAAAAAAGAATTTTAAAGATTTTTTGTGGTATAAACTCATATAAAATCGGGTCTTCCACCTTGCTAAAGACTCCACAAACTTTTAAAAGTGACAATCTAATACTTAATTTTTCAATTTATCTCGATTCTGCTGTAAAACCCAAAGAGAAAAAGTGACAGACGTTGTTACACAAAAGCGGCACCGGCCGACATGGACTTCTCCGGGGAATAGACTTGTCAAAGCGCGTGCAGTGCACAGCAATATCCACTGTT